ATTGAAGATTTTGCCATAGTAATAATGTATTTCTAATTATATACTATATATTACTGTATGTACTGTATGTACTGTACACGAAAAAAATTGGTCTATCATATAAATGGTACATCATTAGTTATGGTAAAGAATGATACTTACGATTGGTTATTCGACCCGGTTGACCATCACGTGGACATAAAGTTATTACCAACATCACTTAATTATCTCCGCTTTTACTTCACCATTCTTATTGAGATATTCCTAACAGCATCGCCTGTTGCTTCGCCTTAATATGATAGATATATGGTCATTCTTAAATTCTATCTTTACTTTATTACAAAATGCTAGGCATTGGCATAAAGTGCTTGGCATTTTTTTGTCTTAGGCATTATTACAAAATACCAGGCATCAGCATAAAGTATCTAGCATTTTTTTGTCTTGAGCATTATTACAAAGTGCTAGGCATCAGCATAAAGTGTCTGGCATTTTTTTGCCTTGGTATTATTACAAAGTGCCAGGCATTGGCATAAAGTGCCTGGTATTTTTTTGTCTTGGGCATTATATGCCTGGCATAGAAATACCACTTATTTTATTAGGCACTATATGGCACAAAAATGCCAATTATCATTTAGACATAGACATAAAATGCCTGGCTTTAGAACATTTATGCTGAAACTTTAATGCCTATACCTATAAGTGTGCTGGGTTTTTATACCTATAGGCATAGGCATGGTATAGGATACTAGTACCTAGCATAGTGCCAAGATGCCTGGCATGAGCATTTGCAGAACCCTAACCGGTTTGTATTCCTTCATTTCTATGAATATCTAGTCCTTCCATTTATTTGCTCAGATACTACTAATCTGTATCTCAAGCTAGGGATTTGCTGCCATCACTAGTTTGCTATCTACAGGCCTTTTATCGTCCCTTTTTTGTCTTTCATGTACTTGCATACTTTTTTATCACATTTGTACTCCCTTTTATGGTATTTATTAGGAACTTGTTTTGTATACAGTAATCAACATACTTTTAGCCATTGGCCTTCGTTGTACATATTGTACAACTTTCAACTTGGGATATCTCAACCCTGGTTGGTGCAGCATTCATATTGGTAAATCCTTAACTCTTTTCATCATAGACTTCTATATAGATATGATCAAAGCTTCAATTTGATATATTTAGTTGTACAGGGATAGGTAACACCCTCTATATCAAGTAACCTTCCATAGTAGGTTGTTTTGCAAGGCCAGAGGTGCTCAAATTCCAGTTAAAGTTTGATCCTTTATTATAGCCCATAGTCATGTATCATCGCTTCTTTCATTACTTTAGTTTTGGCTACTATTATATTACTCTTTCAAGCAAATACTCTGCAAGTTGGATGCAAGGATGTTGGTACTGCCTCCAGATCACCCCAACTAGAAGACTAATTTGTATAATCTTTTGTATAACATAATTTTCTATGATGCTACTATCACATGTAATGACTATACTCCATAACCTGATCTTCTTTCAGGAACTCTTTATTTTGGTTTTGTACTGTACTTGGATTTTTACAAGGCTTTGCATTCAATTTTATGGCCCCCATAGGTTATAGAAGCAAATTTTATTAAAATTTGCCTCCAGTCCGTTAATCTAGTCTGTAGGAGGTTGAAAGCTTAACTGCTAAGCTATGGGACCCAACTCCAATATATATATTTTTTATATAATATAAATCTACTATAAAATATATAAAAAAAATTGTTTATTAATTGTTTGATAATTAAGTGGCTTAGATAAAAATTTTCTATTTAGAAGTCTTTTTTTGTTACAAAAATCCAGATTTATTTTAAAATCAAATTATAAATTTTTTTCGGTTAAATGATTATACCAAATGGAGTGCACTTGAAGTCTTACGCTACATATCAAAAAAACATTAACTTTACAAGTGAAAATATGGAAGATATTAGTAATTCCTTGAAAAGACAATTAGAATTTTTATCTGATCACAAAAGTCTTCGTGCAGCAGCAAGAAACAAGGCTATCAAGATTCTTGCAAACCTGCAAGAAACTCTCAAACGACAGGAGATTTTGAATTTTATTGAAAATCAAGATCTAAAATTTGCTAAAGTTAGTAATACTGATCTATTGTATATATCTCAAAAAAATTTATTATCATAGAACTGATATAAATTAAATGTTGAATTAAGTGTCGTTATTGATGAAACAGCCATGACAAGAAAGACTACCGAAAAATTTGCGAGAGTAGATATTAATTATTTAATAAATTTCTGAAAAATAAACCAATCAGACAATTTTATTGAGATCTCTTAATATGCTTCAGTTTTTGAATAATTATCATAACATCAGGAGTTTTGAAAATTAAGCTTCTAGTTCAACATCACAGACTACTGTTAATATTGAACAAGAAGAAAATGAACACAAAGAAAACGAAGGTGGAGATAGGGATTGGAACCGCCTAAAATTTTTCTTAATCGTTTAATCGTTTAACCGTTTAATTTGGCCGGAATTATGGTGCAATTTTTAAACGGTTAAACCGTTCTAATCTCTAGGTGGAGAGATTGGACATAGCTGCCGCACCAATTTTGTCACGGATGATTCTCGATTTTAATTGGCTAACGGCCGTAATCTACAAAATTTTGGCCCGCATTACATAATAGTTTACATAATTTTTGGCCAGAATTACCTTTTTAACTTTTTCATTCCCAAAATAGAAATTTTTAGTGAAATAGGCCCGCACAATGGTAAAATTAGCTCAGGAATATTTTTCACTTAATGTGCGGCAGTGGTTTCATT